GGCACAAGTGAATAAAGAAAAGATTGAGTAGTGATTGGAGCAGGAGACCATGTAAGCAAAGTCACGGCTTGATTGAGTAGTGATTGAGTACTGGAATAAACTTCACGGCTTGATATAGTGTGGAAGGCACAGTTCCATCAGCATGGATCCATGGCCGGCCCAACAGAAGATTATATGAGGCTGGTATGTCAAGCACCTGAAATTCAACTTCGAACCAAGTTGGCCCCATCTGCAAGCAAAGGTTGATTTCCCCGATCGTGGCCCTCTAGGACCCATCGAAAGCCTTTAAATTCATTCTTCCTACACGTATCTCATGGAAACCTTTGTCCAAACTTTTCAGAGTGTCCAATGTACAAATATTTAGGCTCGAACCTCCATCAACCAAGACCTTGACAATGAACTTGTCTTCAAATTGCACCGTAATATGCAATCCTCGATTGTGATTCAGTCCCTCGAGTGGTAGCTCATCTTCGTGGAAGATGATCTTATGACTTTCTAGTACTTGTCCAACCATGTTGGCCATTTCTCCGCCGATGATGTTATATGGTACATAAGCCTCGCTCAACACTTTCATTAAGGCGTTCTTGTGTGCCTCTGAATTCTGCAATAGTGACAGGATAGATATCTAAGCAGGGACTTTGTTCAGATAGTCAACAATAGAGTACTCCTTTGCCTGTACTTTTCTCCACAGGTCATCTGGCCAGATCTCAATGATAGGCTGGCTAGTAGTGGCCTCCTTACTTGAACCTCCCAGGTGTTCGGGTGTATAAACTTTTTCGGTTCTAGTCATTCCTTGTGCAACATCATATTCCTCTACCTTGGCCTTCCCTTTCCGCCGAGCCTCGGCAACATAGTCCTAGGGTATTGCTTTTGAGTTGAATGGGGGTGTGGTTGATACTGTCACAGTGAAAGGTGTGACCACTTCTACTTCAAATGGAGCGGGGGTGTCTGTGGGTGGAGCCACTTCCACCTTGAATGGAACTGTGCAGTTACCTCAACCTCGATTGGTGCCTGAGTCTGAACCACAATAGGAGTAAGTGTGACTGCAACTTTAAAGTTACCGCCTTCTTGAATAAGCTCGATCGACCCCTCAGGGTCCCATTCTTCATTTGCTTCTATCACATGTACACCATCACCTCTGTGATCATGGAGGGGATTGTTGCGGACATTAGGTGTGGCTTCCTTTGCTTGTATGACCTTGTTGTCAATCAGCGCCTGGATCTTATCCTTCAATGTTCCGCACTCAGCAGTGGTATGGCCTTTCATACATGAATGGTACACACAAGTTTTGTTCGGATTGACCCACTGGGATGGATTTTCTAATGCAACAACAGGAACAAGTGTGACGTAACCAACAACTTTCAATCTTTCATATAGTTGGTCGGTGGGCTCAACAATGGCGGTGTATTGTCTGGGTGGCTTGCGGTCGAAGTTGGGTCTTGGTTTTGGATAATTTTGGTGTGCTGGTGGTGATTGGAAGTGGGATGATTGGTGTCACACCTCCTTTTCACTACCCCCGGAAGGGTAGATAAGGGAGTTTTTTCCAACTTAAAGTGACAATCGAAATGAGATTAATTATTAGAGTTCAGAGTCACCACTTGGGATAATTTTATGGTGTCCCAAGCCACCGATTTTAAATCCCGAATCGAGGAAAAGATTGACTATGTTTTATAGTCCACGAATACAGAAATCCGGGTAAGAAATTTTGTTAACCCGGGAGAAGGTGTTAGGCATCCCCGAATTTCGTGGTTCTAGCACGGTCGCTCAACCATCATTATTGGCTTATTATCTAATTTTAAAACATGTTGTGGCCTATGGTTGATTTTAATTTATTAACCACTTTTAATCATTTTTAAGAAGATTCAACACTATTTAAAATGCGCCTTGGACCACGCCACATGAAATGCACCCGCGGTCCGCAACATATTTTATCTAACGTTATTGAGAATTAGAGTTGGGTCACATGAAATGCACACTCGAGTTTAGGAAATTAATTTTTAAAATAGCGCGCCTAAAGCAACTACGCACTTTCAAATTTGCGAGGGCCATGGAAAGTTTGCTAATGGCACACCTCGATTTCTAATAAATGAAAAGGGCTAATTCATTAACTAGAAGACTAAGGGAATTTGCATCCTTTATTTCAAGCTAATGTTCGCTAAACTTAATGCTTAAAGGGTTGGCAATTAACTGACTGCTTGATTGTTTGGTGAGACTAAGGCCAACAGCAAGCCTTATATCCTCAAACAGGCCCAACCCAGTTGGATAAGCAATACGTGAGAGGCCCAGGAGTATGCCAAAGGAGATGGCAACGTAGCAGAACAGGCCCAAGAGGCCCATTTCGATATACTGCCTGTTGTATGCCAATATTAAACCCCAAATTGACAACATAAAATGTATGGCATCAACCAAAACCGTCTAAGACTATCATGATTTAAACAACCTGCTACAGTTAAACAAGACACTAAACTGAATTTGAAATTCTCAATTAAAAGTACCAAAACCTCACACCAACAGGATACTATGGGAATGCATAACTAGAACAAACCAAATTATGCTGGTTCAATAACCAACCTCAAACTGGCTTTAAAAGAGCAAATTCACAGAAGAGAAGAAACAACATTACCATTTATATAGTTTTTAAAGGATAGGATGATTCAGACTACTAACGTATTCAATAATAGCTAAACCCATTAACATGCTCAATAGTAGCTCATCATGAGTACACATCCAACAATCTCTTGAGAAAGCAAACCCCAATAGTTACAATCAACAGTAGCTAACTATTAACAGCTAAACAAGCTAGTACGAATCACATGCTTAAACCTGAACTTCTATTACAGTGATCTCACGACACACATATGTCCAAAAACCTATTTCAATAACTTTGTAACCTATATGATCAGAACTTCAATTCATGTGAATCCAAACCTCATACTCAAACCCTCACAGAATCAGACCAACGAGCAAACATGGATTCACTTTACAAGACTTTAGCAACATGAGAAAGGGCTAGACTAACATGCATAATATAGGGTTTATATACATAATTATACAGAAATAGAAGAAATAAACTTGAGATTCAACTTGTATCCAAAGTGTTTCACATTCAAAGTGCAGATTCACATATCACATGTTGTTTATGGTTCCAAGAGATACCTGGAAAAGCAAAAAAAGCAAGAAGAATGAGGGATCAGCAACAACAGAACAATATCAACAACAATGTAACAATAAAAAGCTAGCAAATCCAAGCAAAACACAGCTTCTTCACACCAGTAGGAAAAAAAACCACTGAAGACCATTCTATGGAGACTCAAATGCTCAGGTTAACTATGCAATTTGTGGCAAAATTGAATCAATTTCTGACTAAGGAAAATACAGGAAATTCAATTGTTCTTTCAAAACCTTTCAGACTCAGCCATCTCTGATTTTTATTGTTCTGATCCCCTTTGAAAGTTTAGGAAATGGGGATTTTATAGATGGGTTTTAAGGCAACAGTAATGATTTGTTAAATATCAGTTATCCCCTTCCCCAATTTTCTTTTTGTTCGACCTAGACCCCAACTTACATCAGTTTTGCAAGCCAATCCATTCCCCCACTTTCCTAGAAGCTTCCCAATGTAGTTACAAAAGATTCCTCACCTTCAATTCCCTAAACTACCCCCTAAACAGCTATTATTTACCTTCGAAAACCAAAACAGATATGGGTCAATGTTGACCCAAGGCCGAATTAATCCAAGACCTAGCCTAAACCCATGAGTTTGTATACTAACAACCCAAATTGAATTTTCAAACTCTGAACTTAGTCGGAATCTTTCAAACAAACCAATCTTTGAATTTTTAGCAGAAAAAGATTTCACTAGAGAAGCTCGGAAACATTTATTTAAAGTAATTAAATTAAATTATACCAAGACATTGATACACTAATTCCCATTTCATTGAACGCCAAAATAAACCCCAAATAAAAGAGGAGGCAGATTCAGAATCATAACCATGCACACAAAATGACTTAAAAACATTTAAAAGACAGAAGAGAGAAGAAGCAAAAGGAGACGAGTACACGAACGAAACAGAAGACGGAGATGAAGGAGAAAAGAACAAAAATACCTAGATGGCCATACGGATAGGGCTTGACAGGCGATTTCGATTTGACCCGAAACTGGTATTACCCGCATGTTCTCTTTGAGAACAAATGAACAACACTAGTTTCAAGCCGCATTGTTCATAAAAAACTAAAATCTTGAAAGATTTTCTTTCCTTCAATTTTTAGATTCAAAACTGGTCCGATTTGGCGAGGATTTGGGGAGAAGTGGTGGTGGATTAGGACTCAGGGAAGGGTGATGGTTGCATGGCTGGATTTTGGTGGTGGTTGGAGGTTGGTCTGAGGCGGCGCCGCCGGCGAGTGAAAGGGCGGCGGATTAGGGTTATTGAGATGAGGGAGATGAAGTGAAGGGTGTTTGGGGAACTGACCAGTTTTCTGAGGAATTTTGGACAATGTTATAAAAATTTGACGAAGCCCCCTCAACTGTTGGATGAGAGGATATGAAGGGATCAGATCGATTTAAGAACCAATGAACTCGAAACGACGTAGTATCGCCCCCATACTATGTCGTTTCAAAGGTCTCCATGACTGACCAGTTGGACCGGGTAAAACAATGGGTTTTGGGCCAATTTCGATGTGTTAATGGATGAAATTCGATTTGGGCTTGGATGAAATCAAATTAAAATGGCCCAAAGATCAGGCCTTTCATTTCCTTTTCCTTTTCTTTCAATTTTTATTTTCAAAAATTCTTTTCTTTTCAAAATTTAGAACCTAAATTAATTTCTAAACCAAATTATCCTACCAAATTAGATTAATTACTCAAAATAATACTTACCATAACTAATTAATTACCAAATTTAAACAAATTACAAAATTCGACGCTATATGCAGAAATGAGTTATTTTTTGTAATTTTTCTATTTTTTGTAACACAACTAAATTATTACCTATTTTAAAAATGCCAAATTAAATTCTAAATGCAAATGCAACATATTTTTGTATTTTTTCATGAATTAAATAAAATAAATGTGTACAGACAAATGCAAACAATTAATCAAAAAAATGCTACAAAAATCCACGAAATTGCAAACAATGAAAAAATTTATTTTGTTTGAATTTATGGGAATAATTCATATAAAGCAAAAATTACGTTCTCACAGTTGGGAGTTATAGGTGTGATGGTCAGTGGTTAGTTGGGAATATCTGGGAGATGAAGGTTGATATGTAGGCGGTGAAGGTTGGTATGTGGGTAGAGGTGTTTGATATGTGGGTGGAGGTGTTTGATATATGGGTAGGATTTTGTGGCTGTTGGTTTTGTGTGTTTTGAGGAGGTGCTGGGTTCTTTGTGTTTTGTTGGTGGATATCGGGGACGTTGAGGGTGAATGACAAGTTTGCTAAGTTGCGAACCTGCTCAAGTTCTCCTTGCAGTTCCCGTATCTTTTGTTCCAGTCTCAAGACCAGATCCTTTGGGGCCGGAGTACTACGGCCATCTGAGGTTTTTGCGTTCTCAATATTCTCCTTTCAGATACCACTTAAGTCGTCCATTTTTGCTTTTTCTATGCCTTTTGTATTGCTTGGAGGAGGAGGAGGTGGAAAGCCTCTAGATCTGGTGTGGTATGCTGATGAGGCCAGTATGAGTGAACCAACCTAAGGGGATGGGAATAACAATAAAAAATAAACAAAACACAAAAAAGGTAACAAGTCAGTTAGGATCCTGAAATGTTTGCAGTATTTAAACACATATTGCAGAAATGTAAATTCGCGTCTTAGTTTGGGAACCTCATTGTGCCCGAGGTAGGCCTAGCGAGAAATAGATTTGGAGAACTTTTAATGCTAATAAATGCTTTATTTCATAATATAAAAATAGACGAATCCCAAAACAACACTAAGATAATAATGAAATAAGTCACTACTGGCACTTGGCCTTATTACATTTTTAGGAAAAGCAGGTAAATCTAGCCTATTTGGTCCCAGAAGGACCTTCCCCAAATTCTATCTTCTGGACTCCATTATACAGATTCCCCAGATCGCGCAGCCCCAGCAGCAAGTAGGCTCTGGCCAAATGTCCTCCTTCAGTTCCTTTAGCGTTCTGGCAAATTTCAATCCTCTTTGTGACTTTACCTTCCAGCTCTACTATTCCTCGCTCTAGATATTCCAGTTTCCTGTTGGAAGTGACTGCCATCTCTTTCCATTTGATCAACCTCGCATTCCTCTCATGTATTTCTCGGTGCTCATTCTCAGAGTCGTGGACCCTCTTGCGCAGCCTGTTGTACTTATCTTGAGATTCAACTTCCTCATCTATGATTCTGTTCCCTCGACCGGCCCCTGGTGTCAACATTCCTTTCAGATTATCCTCCAACCATGCCGGGTAGAGAGGTTGGCACCCTGCATGATACTTGTCTGGCTCAACAGTGTTCTTCTCCACAATGATTTTGCAGTGCCACATGTGCTGAGCTTGACACTTATAAGGGACATCGTCATCTTGAAAGTCTGCCCTGAAATGACTCATCTTGACAACCCTTGGTACAACCTGTTTTCTGCCTGCTTGCCTCATAACTCGCATAGGGACATATGGGTATATCCCTCTTAACCCGATCAACACCAAGTGCGGAGCATCCCTAGATATGATAATAAATTCGTCTGTTGGGAACCATTCAAACATCCACTGCACTTGTTCCTCGGTCAGATTGTCGAAGAACTCTACCCATTCTTTGGCACTTTCCGGCTGAGCAAATCTGTTTGGAATGTAAGCCATCTGCTTGGGGTGATAGAAGGAAATATGGTCATTCCAAGCCCTTTGCGGAAATTCTTGGCGATAGCGATCCTTTTGGAAATGCTCCAACAACCATAACTGCAGCAACAAGTTACAACCCTCGAAATGCTTGACCCCTCTTTGACAGCGCTCCAGAGCCCTATAGATGTCGGTTATGATCATGGGGACTATGATATATGTCTGTCCATTAATCCCTTCCATCAAAGTCTTGGAGACCATGGTCAACCTAGTGTAGATTCTTCCCTTTTTCATTGGGAACACTATCAGGCCTAGGAAGCACACAATGAATACAAACACTCTGCGGTAGATGTGACCCAAAGAAGTGAGAGAGATCTTATCATGGTAAGTACGGAAAGACTTGCTATGGCCATACCTCTCGTATAGGTATTCAAAAGGTATGTAGGATTCTTTTAAGCACACTAGGTCGACATTCTTCTTCAGCCCCATCATCTTCAAAAAACCTCTGCCCGTATGGTTTTTTGGTACCAATAGCCCGGGACTGTCCCAAGTCAATCCCGCAAGCCCTCCAATTTCCTCTAGAAGCGGTGCCATTTCTATGTCGCCGAAACAAAACACAGCCCTTTCACTATCCCAGAATACAGTGGCAGACTCGATCAGTTTGTTGTTTGGCTCAATATCTAGCAAGGAAGGCATGTTACCCAGGTACTTTCTCAGATGTTTCTTGTCACTTGAGGAAAGGTCCTCCCACTAATCTAGCAGCAATGGTGGGATATTGCTAACCATACCGAATATGGGGACCTCGTGCCACTTTTTTTTGCAAAACAAAAGATCTTACCCCTATCGGACTTGACTATTTATACATTTATGATCAACATATCGGCATTTAGTTCTCCAAATTAATGCACGGAATGTGGTTATGTCCGTTGGGATTATGGAAAACCCGATGGACTTTGGATAAGGCTTATCTTAAAACATTATTATGTGGACAACATAACTGATCCGACTAGGTTTGACCATGATGCATGCACAATTTTCACCAGAGTAAGGTTTTTATGGGGTTTTAGATTGGTACCCTCAAGAGGACAACTCGAGGAGGAAGGCGCGGAACCGTTGACTGCACCGTTGATCGAATGGGTTTACCGCAAATAAGACTTTCTGAATTTAAGGGTAGTAAATAGGAAGAGCGCAACCACTCATTAAAGCGTTGTTATGGGATTTGATACACATGAGTGGAATATGATGCAGAGCATAATTTATGTAGCAATTAATAGCATGTACTCAAGTATTTGCACGTAGGAAAATAAATACAGCATTTAAATAATTGAAAGACAGTTACAGGAAAAAAGAAAACAAAGGGACAAGTCAGTTTCAGGGATAAAAAACCATAAACGCTTAAAAAATGGATAGTTAAATTCAAATAAGGGAGAAGGGTACAGGATAAAGCATGATTGGACTAATTCATAAAAAGATAAATTCGTTATGGTAAGAGCCTAAAAGGTATCCCCAGCAAAGTCGCCATGCTATCGCGCCTCCCTTTTTTCCCTCCACGGAGAGAGTCTGGGTTTCGACATTCATGGGGGTAATAAATCATTTCCTTTTGGGAATTGGGTATTTGAAGAGTCGCCACCTAACGGGTTATGGTGCATTAGGACACCTAGAGCGATTAAATCTTGGATTGGTTTGCATTACCAGAGATTAGGATAAGGGCTCGAAATGACCTCGAGAGGAAGGTGTTAGGTACCCCTCTCGGTTCACAACCGTGGGTCCCGACCGAACTTATACTTACGAATTAGTCCATTAACAAGTAAATAGTTGAATCAAATATTTTGCAAGTAAAGCACGTTGGACGTTGTATAACTCAAATAACAAGGCAATGATTTTGAACAAGGTGTATACATACAAAACAAAGTTTTAAACAAAAGGACTTTTGGGAAAGGAGGAGTCCTAGGTTGGTTAGCCTATAGGATCACCCCACACAATGTCCGGTAAACACTCTTCAATGAGGGGCTACACGTGACATTAGCGCATAGTTATCATATCCAATATCTACCCTTCCCACCCCCTTAGTGGTTATTAATGCGAGTGTTGGTTAGCGATCTCTACTGTGTGCTGTTACCCGTCCCTTTTTAATGGTCCTAGAGAAAATTTAGGACCTCTACCTATAGGTAGTTCTAGACAGACCCCTAAGGTTTAAAGGATAAAAGACTAAGGCTACATGCAAGAACAATTAGGACCTTAGCACATAAGACAGAAAAGGAGAAATTAGAGGCTCAAGTTCACCTCCTCAAATAACACACATAGCACGAGTCAAACATAAATAAGGGCCTTATTGTTAATCAGTATCCTAAGACATGATGTCTAGGTGAGTATCAGAACACAGTAGATATGCAGGTTCATTTTATAACTCAAAAGCAGGGGCCCTAATCAATTTGCCTACTGATATTAAGCATGTTAATTATTAAGCAGTACACACAAAGGGGCAGTTTCCAGTTTTACAAGAAATTGGATTACCTAAGGCTTTCCTAGGGGTAAGATAATGCACAATTGTTATCAGAACTATTAGAATAATGAAGGAGTTATTTTACCTAAAGCATACTGTTCTAAGTGTTATAAAATACAGGAATTATTACCAATTTATTTTAAACAAGATAATTGAATGTGAAGTTGTTTTTCACATCTTTCATAATCAGTAGTTTACACTATGTATGACTGAGCAAGTACGAAAGAGATCCTAAAGCA